TATTTAGAAATAACTTGTGTTATTTTGAAATAACAGAGTGCACGTCTACACAACAAGCATGTTATTTTAAAATGATTTTGAAATAATGGGCTTCTTACTACCACTTCAATAACCCTCATTTCACGAGGAGTAAGGGAAGTCAAAGGAAGAGTGTTCTTTCTTTGACTTGATGCTGTGTAGATAGCACCAAAAGCCAAGTTAAGGTACTTTGACTTCAGCTATGCAATTAACATTGCTGAAGTTGCGTACCTTTACTTTAGCCTGCAGTGTAGATGTACCCGAAGAGATTGCCTTTTGTATATGTATCCAGCTATTGAGAGACCCCCAACTAATTTTGATTACTTCCAAAAATTTTGTGGAAACACATGTGTGTCACTTCTCATTTTGTACAAAAAAGAACAGCACATGAAGCAGAAAGCAGTGAGGAAGGACTGCAATTGTAAAGTGCCCAGAAATGATTCAAGCCTTAGTCAGGCCACGCATCTCTTCCTAATGGACCCTTAAAAAATCATGTGAGCAGTGTGTTTTGGAGGGATGTGACAAATGCCACAGATTAAGGGGATGAGACATTTCAGGATACTTCACGATATAGCTGGCCCAGAAAAGCACTAAGAACTCTACTCCAACTCCCAGCTATTAAACTATCCTCATCCTCCCTTGCAAATGTTACCAACACACATCTCCCTGATCACCCTTCCCAGACATGACATGCCTCTCTATCCAAAAGAAGTAAAAAAAAGTTCTTGAAGTAAATTGAAGCAGTTTTCAGGCTATTCCCCTTCTGAGTTTGCACAGGGCTCTTCAAAGACTATAACCAAACTAGGTATTAGTTTATTTTTCCTTTTTTCTGTCCTTCTGGTTTCATGGGAAGGACCTGACAAAAACTCCCATCAGCCTCTGAGGTTGACGTCAGCTGTCCTGATGGATACCATAGAGCAGGGTATTAAACACTTCCTGTAAATTTTTTTAAATGTTTCTAGTCTTGGCCTTTGATGCTTCTAAGGGTAAAATGTATCCCTGGACAAACTTCGCGTTCAGTTTAGACTAAAATAGCCAGTAGGTTTCAGGGCATAATTCTGGGTATGACTTCTTGGTCACTTTTACAGGCATTAATGTGCAGATGAGACCACTAATTTTTATAAAATCCTGTGACTACTTGGGTTTATAAAAGCTGGATATTTGTTTGAGAATAAAGTCTGGCAGAAATCCTTTAAGTGTTTATGAATGCCTTTCATGTAATTTGCTTCTCAGAATACAGACTAATTCACTGATACTGTAAAACTTAAACCGAGAGAAAAGAAAGCAAGTGGGTTGCGTGTAAGGAAAAAAATGACCTGAAGTTGGAACAGTTATTCATGTTGGTGGGCACTATGGCAATTCTCAACAGTGTTGGTAGGACTTCTCATGTAAGTGCTTCCTGACTTAAATAATGGCTGCGCAGACAGGCTCAGCAAGCCTTGTAAGAAGAGGAGGAGGAAAAAAACACTTAAATAACAGCATAATTGAATAAAGAGTTCAACTACATATCAAAGTCAAACAAGATGACAAGATAGCAATTCAATTGCCATAATGAGGTAGTGGTATGAGGCAGTAGAGAAATAATGGTGAGACTAAAGAGATTATAACAATGTGGTATATTTTTGAAAATAAAAAAAATACAAAGTAGTTTAGAATGGGAAAAATCTATAGATAGAAGCTTACAACATTTAGAGAGCACATCCTGGAATTGGAGTTTGTCATTTATTCCAGTGCAGTTTGTAGGAGAATTCCGATAAATGATTTTGACTTGCTTTTCTGTTCTAAATATCCTGGTATTTTTGTTGCAAGCCAGGCAGACACAAATGGATTCTAGTTTCAGCTGCAAACATACATGTTAAATGGTTTGTAAACAGCTTTACTTAATGCAAATATGTGAATTTTGAAAATTGATTTTTTGGGGGCAAGCTTGAAAGGTCTCACCTGCATTTTTCAAAGTAGCACTGGGGGGAACAGTTCCATTGGAAAAATATTTCACATATGAAATCCTGGATTTAAAAGCTTTAGGGAGGGTTCAGTGGGGCTTAGCAAAATGTGAAAGGAGTCCAGGAGCTGTTTTGTCCCCAAACACACAGTGGCATTTTTATGTGACAGTCATCTGCTAAGTTGTTTAGTTCAACTCAGAAGTGTTATTTCCCTTTTTAGTAGAGATGAACATTTATTTTCAAAACTGTTAATTTTTAAAGATTTGTTTCAAGGCATTCATTCGTATCATTTGTGAGTCAGCCCTTTGAATATGAGCTTCCAGAGCAATGTTGTGGCCAGAAGGGTTAATACAATCCTTAGAGGCATAAACAGGGAATTTTACCTCTGTATCTGGCACTGGTAGAATACTGAGTCCAGTTCAGGTATCAACAAATCAGGAAAAAGGTTGTAAAATGGAAAGAAGATCAGAGAAGATAAATGAAAAGGAATTCATTGATTCTATCACTATACTTTAATCAATCTGTCTAACTTAACAAAGAGAATAATAAGAGGTAATTGGATTAAAGACTATAAATAGCTACATAGGGAATAAATATTTCATAATGAGCTTTTCAGTGTAGCAGAGAAAGGCATATCATGATCAATATGTTGACAAATCCAGATTAGAAATGAGGTGGTAATGTTTTACAGTGAGAGTAATTAACCATTGGAACAGCCACCAAGTGGCATGGTGGGTTCTGAATCACAAGCAATTTCTAAATCAGTATGGATATGTTTCTAAAAGATATGCTGTAGAAGTGATTTGCGGGACGTTCTATGGTCATGTTATTTAGGTATCCAGACTAGGTCATCACAGTGGTCCTTTCTGTTGCCAGCAAGAGTTAATCTCAGGTCTGGCACCGTGTTCTCTAAGTAAAAAGACAAGCTACATAGGTATCTCTCAAACACAAGGGCTATGTCTTCACTGGGCCACTTATTCCGGAAAAGCACCCGTTTTTCCGGAATAAGCTGCGAGCTGTCTACACTGGCCGCTTGCTTTTCCGGAAAAGCAATGACGATCTACTGTAAAATCATCAGTGTTTTTCCGGAAAAACTATGCTGCTCTCATTCGGGCAAAAGTCCTTTTCCCGGAAAAGGGCCAGTGTAGACAGCACAGTAGTCTTTTCCGCAAAAAAGCCCCGATCGCGAAAATGACGATCGGAAAAGCGTGTCTACATTGGCCACGGACGCTATTCCGGAAAAAGTGCTAATATATGAGCAGAAAAGATGGTCCTCAAATATCCACAGATATAAAGTGCATTTCTGCACATTGTCAGTGCTCTAAAAACACAACAAACTTTCAAAACTGGTCATTGAATGTCACCAAAATTGGTGATTAGATTGCCTCTTGTTGCAAAACTTTGGACAAAATGCAAGATTATCTGTTTTGGGATCTCAGCTAAGACTATGCAGAAACACAATCTCATCTGAAAGTGTTCATCAGGACACAGATGCTAAACTTTTCATGACTTCAAACTCATATCAAAATCAATAAGGCTCGTAAACATTGATTTTGGAATTTATTATAGGATTTATTCTCTGAGAATATATTTTAATACATTCTCAGAGAATAAATCCTACAATATATTCCAAAAAAATCAATGTTTATGAGCCTTATTGATAGTCCATAGTCTCTGATATTAGTCATCAGTTCCCTTTCTGGTGAGGGGGGGGTGGAAGGGAGGGGAGGGGGCCTGACTCAAATTCCACTGATGTCAGCTGAACTCTTCCTATTAAATTCACTGGGTTTTGGATCAGACTCTAAAGATTTTCTGATAGGAAAACAATAAATAGTGTAGCAGTTTTCACTATGATCATGTTTTTAGAGCAGATATTGCTATGTAACTCATAATGACGAAGCTGTGATATTGATTTACCATAATTCATCATTCATGTTGCATATTGTACCACAATAGCAATTGTATGCTACATTTTATTTTTCAGTATGGTTTACGTTTTATTTGTATTTTATTAGCAAATCATATGTACAACTGATCTGAAGATGTCTTCTAATACAATAGTGCATATGTTTAAAATATCCTATATATTTATCCAGTCATGTCACTCTATGGTACTTCTTGTTAGGGCTGAGGGAACCTGGAACTATAAACATGTAAACAACAAAAGTATGATGCTGATGTATATCTGTATCATGTAACTGTGTATAGATTCTGTATCAAAATCACATCCAGCTTTATTCCTTCTGTTTCAGTCTCTTTGCACCATTGTCTCTAATCACCACACAGTGATGGGCTGAAAATGGACAATTGGAATTTCCGCAGTGTTAAGGATCTCTCAGCTGCTTTAGTGTGACATAGTCAGTTCCTACACAAATTGCTCCCAATACTCAAACACCCTGGCTTAAGGGACATATTGTAGGCATAAAGAAGAGAAAGGCATGTTGGCCTCATCCCAGTTCGCAACTTGTCTAAAGTCCCATAAGATGCAGCCATTTGGAATAAGATAAGGCCATTTTTAAGATGTTCCAATTCATGCTAATCAGCAAACGTGGCTGAAGAGTACCATTGCTAATATTCCCTTTCACGTCCCTGCCTTGTGTGTTGACTATATCTGGACGCAGAGAAGAAACTAGGCTAGATTGTGTTCCATTACTCATTAATATAAAGGGAGTGCTTTTAAAGGCAAAGCTTATCATTAAATAAAATAATGTTCATGATTCAGTCTTCTGAGAGGAAATCATTATTATTGATTTAAATATAAGTAATTGCATGTATCAAATGTTTTGCAAGAAGCAAATGCCCTGAAAAAAAAATAGAGAGTAATTGGTTATAGGAGTACAGTAATTGACAAATTACTTAATTTAATTCTGCTTGCATTCCTGATTTTCAGGTGTATTCTGTTTACATTTTGCTTCTATATTTACTTTTTTTTCCATTTTCTTCTTTCTTTCCCACCTTCAGCAAAATAGCTCAGCAGATAAGGAGACTCTTCATGTTGCCTCAACAAAGGAAGTCCATTTTCTTCTTTCCCACCTTCAGCAAAATACCTCAGCAGATAAGGAGACTCTTCATGTTGCCTCAACAAAGGAAGCAAATCAAAGCATCCAGGAGTGTGATTCTCAAGACGTAAGATTAACCCATTTGGGACTCAGTACTTAATATAGACTGAAAGGAATTATTAAAGCCTTAGAGACCATTCTAATGCCATCTATTTGTTTAATAATCAATCCAATACATACATTTTAAAATCTATTTCATGTTCAGTTTCTGTGAAGTAAACTCTTTGGAGTACAAGTATGCAGTGTAGTCCCTGTGTGTTCTTTAGGGGTTGGTAAAGCTTTTGTGAAAGCAAAGCAGTGGAAGAGATGTGATTTAATGATTAGTCAGTTCAGCAATCTACTTATTCCCTTAGAGGTTTGGTTGGACAGCTCCTGGGCTACAGTGAGGCACAGAATGCCATTATATAACATTCACAGTAATAAACAAACATAAACATAAAAAATGCTTTGGGGGAGAGGAGGGGAAAGGACCCAAGGAAGATGTGTCACTTGAGTAGTAACAGGGACAATGTAAAGGTAAAAGTCTACAATCTTGTCCACTGCCAGTCAGCGACTAGGGAACAAGCTGAAAACTCCAATCTGTGACACATCAGACACAATGGACAGCAGCCCTGACTCACTTAAGACATTGCCACAGCATACTAACATGAATCTCAAAGCAATTTCTTATGGCCTGTGTAACCATGAACACCAAAAATAGTAGAGTGTTGCAAATTTGAATGATTCCCTGGATATTGCAAAGGATATTACACTAATGCGGTCTTAGCAAATGTCCTGATGAGACATGAAAAACAGTAAGAGAAAATGAGGCAAAGGAGCCTGGAGTGAAATACTAAATACACTAGTGTTCCTTAAATATAACACCTACTAATATCTGCAGGAAACTGGAAAGCCTGCAGGCAGCAATAATTAGCAGTTTACACACCTTTCATCCAACGTTTAAACAGTTATGGTTTCCCCAATTAGCACTCATAAATTTGGTACGTTTTTTCCTCAAGATCAGGGCAAGTATTATCAGTTGCTCAGTTGGGAGCCCTGATGTGTGTGGTTGCAACATGGATACTTGGGAAATCACACTACCTTTATAATAGTTTTATTAATAAAATTAACAACTTCACTACCTTCAAGGCAGGTGGAGATAATACAGAATGAGCATTCAGATTTTTTTTCCATCTCTTCTTCCTCCTCACCATCATAACCATCATCAGCGATCATTGTCCTAGCATCTTTCCCTCCCAAAGCACACAGCCTTGGATATAACTTTATAATGTATTACACTGACACCACTATGCTTAATGTGTATTCACTAGATTTTTCCCCTTCTCCTTATTTGTATTTCATCACTCAACTACTATTGAATGTGCCACTCTCCCATAGGTTAATGTTTTAAGCTTATTAGGATATACATCAGTTAGTTGCCATGGCATTCTTGTGGTCAGACATCTGCTGATGTCCCTAACTAAAAATATCTTAAGCTGGTATGAATTAGCATCTTGTGATTACTTACCAGCTGTTTAGTCATTAAAACATTCCCTATTGTGATAACTTATGAATTAGAATTAGTTGGTTAGCTCCTTATGCTAATGCTCTTTGGCTTTTAGGCCCTAATTGATTTTGCTAAGCTATTGTCTTACAGGTCTTGAGACTTGTAGAGTTACTGCTTTAATGTCTTAACTTATCCCTATGTTTCAAATATCAAATACCTATACCAATAGGATACACTGTTTAGTTGTGATTGTCACATTATTCTGAGCAGAAAATTGAGTAATGCATATAATCTCAAATGAGTTAACATGATTTTTATACTACACTGATACATATTTTTATGTTCTTTCTCCTGTAAATCCAAATCTCTGAATCTGCACTGTTCCTGACATGTCAGATTTTACTTATGGCATGAACATAGTCTCTGTCAATCATGCCTATCTTGCTTCTTTCCAGAAAAGCTGCCTTGCATTTCCATTACTTTTTTATGAGGATAGATTGTTGATCTATCTTTCAACCTCCAATCTGGAGGGCCAATGGATTGCTCTTCATTTGATCCCACATTTTGCCCTGTCTGGTTTGGGTGGCCCTACCAGGCATTAGTACTCTTGGCCAAGTAACTCTCAAGGTCATAGAAAAACAAGCTAGACCACTGCATTAAGCTATTAACCCCCAGGGAAAATGATGTTTCACTCATCTTGAGTCCAGCTTCACAGAAGGGACAGAAACTGTAATTTGACATTTTTAGAAACCTGAAAAAAGACTTGAAATTCCTATCCTTTTAAAAAAAAATCCAAAAATGTTATTTTATCTTAGGACTTTTCAGAACCAGAAGCTAATACTCTACCTACTGGAAAGTTGGGGATTTCTTCTTTTAAGGACATTCATCTTGACTGAACATTTGACCTGTGTCATTTTGAGTAAATTCCACGTGTGGGAAGGAAAATGGTAACATATCCCCCCTTCCTTGTTCATTTTACTTTATTTTGATTTTTTTAAATTTAAATAGGAAATGTTTAAAAATTGTCAGAATTTTTAAATATTATGTCCCAATAGACAAAGTGCAGTAAAGGTGGTCAAAGATGTACAACAAGTTCTGATCTACCATTTATTTTTTTAAAATAAAAAAATTGAAAGTGAGTTAAAAACTGGGAATTAATGAATCAAGATGTTTCTAAGAAAGCTTCAGTAACTCTTTTCTCTGGGCACGTCTATACTACATGAAAGATCGATGCTACCGTGATTTATCTTCCAGGGTTCAATTTAGCAGGTATAGTATAGATCCACTAGGTTGAGCTCAAAGGGTTTCTCCATTGGTGTCAGTCTTCCTGTTCCTCACGAGGAGTAAAGGAAGCTGACAGGAGTGTTTGCTCCCATTGACCTCCTGGTGTGTGGTCAGTGGTGAAATGCGAAATGCAGCTACATAATTTACATAGTCGCGTATCTTACTTGGTCCTTCCCATGTAGTATAGACCAGGCCTCAGAGTGGTGGAAAAATCTCTTAATTGTTTTTCAGATTAACAATATCCCATTTACTTTGTACAAGTATTACTCTTCCAATGACTGACTACTGTAAAAGAACATATGGTATTTTAAACTTCTAAAGAAAAGAAGAGAAAGTAAAATATTTTGTCAAATATATCAGATTTTTTTCTCTGTGCTCCTTATGGCCAATTACTTTGGTTATTTTTAATTTTCTAGTCTTGCTGAAATTTTTGGTTTTGACTTATGTATATTTATATTAATTTCTAAGGTGACATAACATAAAATGTTATTTACAAGTTGGATCCAGATAAATAGAATTAAATTCATTCATTTGGAAATTGGATGGATTGAAAAAAAAGAGCTGCACCTCCAATGGGACATTCAATGGCTACAAGTAGTTAAAGCATCTTGAAATATTACTGTCTTGGTTTATTTAAATTGAGATTTTGACTGAGTCAGGACCTCTATTTGCCTCCAATACTAATTTTCTTATCCCTAACACTTAGAAAACACTTTAAGAACCTTCTCTTTTCAGGAGGATATTTTCCAGTGGCTCAGTTGAAGTGAAATCCTGAAATCCAGTGTAATCCTGGCTCAGTTGAAGCGAAAGGCAGTTTTTTTTTATTGGCTTGTGTGGAAACAGGATTTCACTTCATGTATGTTTACTTAAAGTGCATAGCAAGCCCTTCTAGTAGAACTGTGGACTGAACAATGTCTTAAACAGAAAGTTGGCTCTTCTAGTTTCAATAATATGAAGAATATTATCAATTTGTAACACACACACACACACACACACAAATTACTATCAAAAGGACATTCACTATCTTCTTCAGTGCAGGTAAACTTTATGTACATGAAACACAACATTCAGTGAAGACAAACATTATGCATATAAAACACAACATTTAGAATTACCTATTGCAAGGTGTCAGAAATAACATCACACAATTTAAAAAATGTTGCTTTATTTAAATATTTTAGATTCATCCTTTGGTGTTAAATTTCTAGCTCTCATTGTTTGCCCTTGCTCGGCCTTTTCTGAAAAACAAAAGTGGGACAGATTTTATTTACTACCTTTATGTTCCTGCAGTACACAAACACAGCAAATTCATTAATCATTCAGTGGCAGAGGACATTGAGCACTGGACCAAAACATACACATGTTTCTAAGCAACCATGGGGTTTAGCTTCATAATTTTTCCATCATTCTTAACAGCAAAGTTTTGATCACTCTGCTTGCTTCTTTCCCTTTCTTAGCCAATATAGTAAAATTATGACATTTCTGAGAGTATGTCTACACCGCAAAGTTATTTTGAAATAACTATGTGACCATCTACACAGCAATTGTGTTATTTCAAAAATATTTTGAAATAATAGGCAGCTTATTTTGGCATTGGTAAACTTCATTGTACAAGAAATAATACCTTTTCTGGAATATGGCAGCTGTAGTTATTTCAGGATAAGAGACCTCCAGTCCTTCCCAAGGTGCCCTACTAGCTGCTCTGTCTACACTCAGCCAAACTCTATAGCCCCTCCTTCCCCA